GAATCCATAAAAGTATTACGGAGTGATTTGCTGGTAGAGCCTTTATTGGAGTCCAAGCGCTAACTGATAGAATATCTCAACTAATTCCTCTTTATAGGGATTTGCACAATAATCAAATATAATCCAATTAAATGAGAGGTTGCCAAATTATCAGCTATTACTATAGAAGTTTCTGAAGGCGTTGCCTCTTAATTAAAATAGAAAAACTAAGAATATCTGAGTTGCCACCGAAAGTTTGCATAAGATAAAGGTCAAATTTAGCTTGTACGTGCATCGTGAGAGGCATGTGACTATTTAACAATTAGACTACGAGGTGGAGTTTTCTATTAGTCAAGTAATATTTCAAAGCCTACAATGAGGACTGGACGGGATTTCAAGTCAAAGCAATTAGTTCCAGTCCGAGGCGCAGCAGAGAACTGGAACTAATTGCGCGGACTTGAAATCACGTCCAGTCCGATATTGGAGGCTTTGAAATGACTTCTCATCTCATTAATTATTCGACTTGGAGTAACTGGAACAAAATTTATTCAGTCCTAGGACTGAATTAATTTTGTTCCAGTTACTCCAGACTGAATGCATTCCTTTCACAGCACTTTACCAGGTTTCAAGTAACATCATGTGACCCAAAAATAGCCCATTGATTGGCTGGTTTCCTCATGAATTATTAATGAGTCGGCGTAGCGCCGACTATCGACTATTTGACTCATAGAAAACGAGAACGATTAGTCTAATTGTTTTAGCATAAACCTACTAGCTAATATTATAATATTGAAAACTAAGAATGACACTGAAAACTCTACTGAACAAAAATATGGTCAACGGCGGTGGCACTGTTTTCATTCATCTTTGCGAACTCGACTCGATGTCTTATCGCGCATAGTTAAGCTTGCTCTATTTCTATAGCTTTTTGTGTCTATTGCATGATAAGCAGTAGACACTATGCCATCGAGTTTGCCCAGATATACTTCATATTCTATTTGACTAGCGAAAAATATAGTTAAATGACATACGACTATAACTGACATAAAGTTCATCCCGGTGTAAGGGTTGTAAAACTTCCGATTAATTTCGGATCCCACGTGCACAGCTAGCGGCGCATGGCGAGGATAGCCGACGTTATCCGAAGTCCCGCGTACTGGCTTGTCAGCTTGGCTGTTCTGTTTGCGACTGCTTACGACTTTTTACCGACTGTTTGACCAATGTATCAAACCATGATTCGGTAGGATTCAGTGATTTCTAAAAGGTAATCGCAACCATTTTTGTAGTGAATTTTATCTTTTTTCGGAACAAGCTTAAGGCACACAGGTTTCATGGAATGTGTCAAGTGTTGTTTAATTTCAGGTATTTCCATTATCTAGAAAGAATTTATCGCAAAGAGTGACCACTGAATTGGCGTGTTTGTGCTATTCGAAGCATGTCAACAATGTCGCTTCATGAACGATTGAATACAGAACCGATGCGATGTGAAACTGACTCAGATTGTTACAGTGACAATATTTGAGCCCTTTAAAGCAGATAACTGAGCTTCGTAAGCAGAATATTAAGCCCGCCCTGATTACCCGCAAGTGAATATTCTACATAAATATGATTTTAAAATGTTCATATTCTCTTGCTTTTTGTGATATATGGAATTCATGGATGGCTTAGTTTCAAAGGACTTTGGAAGGAGTTTACATAGGAGTGTGTGCCGTCGCTAACCTTTTGTCATGAACTATTAGCTAGGTGACATCCCCCCCCCCCCCCCCCTATTTCTGTAAGCTAAAGAAGTAATAGTAAAATTACAGAACGAAGATAAATTCAAACACTCTTAAAAAATTGGAAACGAATATTTAAAACTTTGGAACCATTTTTTTCTTGCATTTGTTCACAGAAATATCTTTATAATGATTTATCTAATATTCTACGTATCCTTATCAAGCCAAAGATTCGTTAACACATACAATGATGCAAAACGTTTATTTAACTTGTTTAAAAGATCCGTACGAGTAACACAGAAACTCTAAGCCTCATAATGGCCTACGGACTTAAATATGAAATCGCTATCGCTATCTAAAACAAACTAACGAATACAGGTCAACATGGATCAAGACTTGTAAAACCTTGTTGAAATCCATCACAGCTCCATAGCAACGAGGCCCTTGGTGTTCACTAGTAACGAGGATGGTCCTTAAACATTTGGGGAACTGGACCTTCTTTGCAGCTCTTTGGAGGAGTGAACACTGAAGGGTCCTTTATTCCAAGCTCTACATTATAGAAGCTAGAAAATCACAAACAATATTCAGAATAAATTGATTATAGTTACGAGTTGTTCATCGAAGACTCTTAATACAAATTGGACGTAATGTTTTTAACTCGTGGATACGCGTAGCTACGCAGGCTAATTACTAAACGAAGTTTTATAGAATATCCCGACACTTATTTCACAGTGTAAGTCAAGTAAATAGTTTGTCAGACGCGACATCAAGGTCAAGATATGATGTACATTTATAACATAAACATAACAAACGCTCTTGTCAGCGGGACGGAACACAGGTAACCCAATGTCTAAATAGTGCAAGCAGGATTTAAAAGAGGGTATCCACGAGGTTTGCCATAAGGCAGTTTGATTCCATTTCTTACCAAATGGGTCGATCTGTTATTGTCCAACTAGTTACAGTAGCTTTAAGCTATAGTTGTTGGGTGGAAGTAGAACAAGGAGGGAGGTTGGATGGAACAACAGTGAAAAGTTAGGTTTTATTGATACGTTACCTTTCACGAATTATCATCCCCTTAACGGTGACTTTGCTAAAAAAGGGAATGCAAGCGTCATCGGTTACGCAGAGGACGTAGTCTCCTGTGAATAAAAACGTTTAGCCAGCCAGCCAGCCAGCCAGCCAGCCAGCCAGCCAGCCAGCCAGCCAGCCAGCCACCTAACCTAACAAGCATCAACCAATCAACCTTCCCAAATCAACCCACCCACCCACCCACTTATCCAATCTACCAACCCACCAACGTGCCATCCCTCCATCCATTCGCCTACCAATGTGAAATAAAATGATTTTTTCATTTTGATATTGAATAAAAAAGCATAACGAGTAGGAGCGATTACTCACCTTTGCTGCTCTCTGCGGCGAACGTCCCATAATAAGTTTTGTAAGAAAGACCTGTGTTTTTAAGTCCAAAGTACGCATCACCTACGAAGGTCGCATTGTCAGGGACTTGGGCTGGTACGAAAGGCTTGTCATACTTGGAGACTTTGCATTCTCCTGTGCTGCGTACAATGCTGTAGAGACGATGCTGTTGAACAAAGAAAAACGAGAAAATAGATGAACTAGAGCTGTAATTAATGTGAGACTGTTTGATGGAACGAAATAGACACCATCTTGGAAAGATGTCTCCTAAACAGCCCCACCTGATGCACAGCAATGCCAACTAGTATTTGCCAGACATTTCCTCATTTCATACTCTAAAAACTACATGATATATACCAACATATTTCTTTGCGAGTGAATTTCGAATTTTCATATTCCTGCCAATTAGGTTATGGGACTTAACCATTGTTTGCCCCATATCTTTTTATCATTCTTAAAAACATCATGCATAAGTAATGACCTTAGAACAATACAAAATCGCTACCATGAAGGCACCTGTAAACCCTGATACAGAATTCGTCCTGATTTGCATAAGGTTGACCTTGAAATATCTCGGCCAAATTACATTTAATGTTAAAAATTTTACTCTAAAAAAAGCATTAATCTAGACATTCTTTAAGTAGTATATACAAGGGCCGATCCAGGGGGGGGGGGTCAAAGGGGGGCTGAAGCCCCCTCTTGAGCAGAAAAAAACAAACAAACAAAAAAACCTGAAGAATTAGATGCTTTTTTATTGTTTTTCGCTGTGTTGACGGAAGAAACTCAATTAGCCCCCCTCCCTAAAATTTTGGCTGGATCCGCCCTTGATACAATATTCGCGTGAGATCTGTATGAGGTTTAAAACAGCTCGCTAAGTTGCAGCTCGCTGTTTAAAATCCTCATACAAACTTTTAGAGTTGATTGACCTTATATGTGTGACATACCTTGTTGTAAAGGATGATGTATTCATACTGGGCAGAATCAACCTGCACCAGTGCACGGACCCTCTCGTTGACAGCATCGTAAGATACCTTAAGATACATTGCAAGATCTTTGGCGTCAATCTGAAATAATTGTTGAATTTGATATGAATTCGCCCTTTGAATATCGAAGCCGCTGTTACTTGGAACAATTAATTTATACTAACGATGTGAATCAGGTTATCAGATCATAGTTTCTTCTCTTTAAAGGATATTCGTCGGTCGAATTGAGTTCGGTCTAGCTTTTCCCTTGACACATAGTCTCCCCCACAGCCGCTTTCAGTGTCGGATATTGACACAGGGATTAGTTTGTGTTCCCTAGTTATGTGATCCCCCGAACACTGGCCTGGGTACTATTGTTTTGACAAATTTCTCCCCCAGGACAAGGGCTGTAGTAGGCATCGCACTGTAAGTTTTGTATACTAAAAAAAAAATCGAACCTAGACGCTCACAAACTTTGTAAAATCTTACCTCAAGGCTTTCTTCTCCTTCCCACATCGTTGGAGATTCTGCAAAAAGACAATCAATTTTAGGTATGCCAGGCATTTAGTCCATTTTAGACCGCGACCGGCTGCCGGGCAGTTAGCCAAAGTGATGTTCGCTATGTTTGTATCATTACAAGAATTCCATAAGTCGTGGCTTTCGCTCCTTTGTGGGTTGTATCCAGAATCGATAGGAGAGCGAAAATACCAAATTAAGACAAGTAATCAGTCTAACGTCGTATTTACAAGCCAACAAATTCAATTAATTATCCTAGGAACCAAAGGTGTAAAAAATGGATAAAATATACTCACTACAAGGTTTGCTCGAGTGTGCAATGCCGAGAACCGCCATAAATGCAAGCAAAGCAGCAAACGTATACATTTCGAGACAAGATTTAGGTTCAAGTTATCAAGTTATCGTGTAGTCGTCCTCTCTATACGATGGTTGCATGCACTATGATGCG